ACACCACGACATGGATGAATCTCTAATTCAGGACCAGCTACATAATTAGTGGGACACTGTAAAATGAAAATATGGGTCCCTTTGTTCATAAATTATTAAGAATTTCACAACAGTGACAATAGAGCATTGAACCAAGTGCTGCGCCCTCTGACGCACAGGATCCTGTGGGACTGCACAGGTCCCACGCCCACAAAGCTGGACCTGCTCAAAATAATTATCCTGAGTGAAATAAGCCTAATAGAGAAGAATATATAATGTATGACTTCATTTATATAAAATTATTGAAAATGTAAACTAATCTGTAGGGATGGAAAGCTGGTCAGCGGTTGCCTGGGGATATGCTGGGGTGGGGCAGGGTATGAGGGAGGGATTAAAAAGGAGTACAGGGAACTTTTTGGGATGACAGATATGTTCACTATTTTGATTGTGGTGAAGATTTCACAGATGATACATATGTCAAAATTTATTAAATTGTACACTTTAAATACATGCGGTTTACTATATGTCAATTATACCTCAGTAAAGCTATCGAAAATTGCAAAACATTAATTGGCCTTTGAGAAAAATTTTTTAAAAATATAGTTCATGATTTCTGATATGCAATTCTTCCTCACAGACAAAACATACACAAGTGTAAGTTAAGTAAATGCAAAAGATAATATATAATTAACTGCGAAAATAAATGACACGCTATTAGTCCAAACTATTGGAACTGGGGAAGAATAAGGATCCAATATGAGTGGAAGTGGTCAGGGAAAGCCTCTTTGAAAGAACTGGTATTGAATGCAGCCTTGAAGAGTGAATGAGATTTATACAGACAAGAAAGAAGGGAAAATAGCAGTTTGGGTAGGGTGAAAAGAACCGAGATTTGGATTAGAGGCTATCCAGATCAGTTTATGGACAATGAACAGACCTGCTTGGTTGGATCACAGTATTTCAGTGATATGTACTTAATAAGAGAAAATGTTTGATTGGCTCCTGCCTCCTTTAGTAGAGAGCTCTGAAGACAAGATAAGAGATGAGTTTTTATCCTAAAGGCAAGGGCTAATCTGTAGATTGATAAAATAATGTTTCAAAAAGTCAAAAAAGGTTGTATGTAAAATGGTATTCCAAACTCTCTTTGCTTTCTGGACACCTTACTTTCAATTATGCTACCTACTTCAGCTTTCTTTTCCCTACCTCAAAATATCCCCATCTCCATTTCCTTTATTGCTGTCTCAGAAAGAAATGTCTTTTCTCTTTTTGAAACCTAATTCCTCCATCTAGTGTCTTGATCCCTTACTCTCTCACAATCAGAGGGATCTTGCTTCATAAGGTGGCCTATCCCCCAGAGGTAATCAATCTCTCCCTACCTTATGGCACCTTCATTTCGGCCAATAAACAAACAAAAACCTTATTTTGACTCTGTTGTGTCTCAAGGTATCTCCTTATTCATTCCCTTCTTCATGCTGAAACGGACCACCAATCTAGCTCTGTCCCTTATTACTTCTCTCCCAGACTACAACTGACCTGATTTCCTCCCTCCCCTCCTGCCAGTCTATTCAATACACTGCTGTCGAACTAACCTTCGAAAAGAGATTTCTTTAATATGATTTTCCTCCTCACAAGTCTTCAGAGCTCATGACCGCCTTTTAAAATAGAGTGGTTCTCACCATGTTTCTATTCTATTTTTCTCCTAATACATCTAAGATTTTGTCAAATTGCACAATTCACTTTTCTTCAAGCTTGTTTGTTTTTCCTGCCCCCCTGTTCATGCAGAGTCCTAATCTGCAATATCCTCTCAAAATCTGTCAGAATCATACTCATTCTTCAAGTATTCAAAAGGGATTTTTTTTTTTGTTTTTTTGTGCTGAGGAAGACTCGCCCTGAGCTAACAGCTATTGCCAATCTTCCTCTATTTGGTTTGTGAGCCACCGTCACAGCATGGCCACCGATAGACAAGTGGTGTAGGTCTGTGCCTGGGAACTGAACCCAGGTTGCCGAAGCGCAGCACACTGAACTTAACCACTAGGCCACCTTGGGACAGGCCCCAAAAGGGATTTCTTGCATGAAGCCTTTACTAATCCTCCAAACAAGTTACATCTCCTGACAGCTCTTTAAACTCCATTGCACTTTGCAATTTACTTTTCAAATTTATTTTACTCTGCACCTAATAATAGAATATGGCCTTTGGAGTCAGGCAGAATTTCAAAATTACTACTTATTAGCTTGTGACCTTGGGCAAGTTGGTTAATCTCTCCAGACTTCAATTACCTCATTTGTAAAATGTGAATAACACTTACCTGTAAAGATTGGATTAAGTCAGCGGAAGTGCCTGGCACATGAGAGGTGGTATGTACTAGCATGTCTTGGAATACATTTATTTGTATGATTTTCTTATCTACCATAAAGCACTGTTAGCTTCATGAGGACAGGCCCCAATTTTCATTCATTTTGGTAGCACCTATTTGTACATAGTAAATTACTCACTTTTTACTTTTATTTATTTATTTATTTATTTATTTTTGTGAGGAGATCAGCCCTGTGCTAACATCTGCCAATCCTCCTCTTCTTTTGCTGAGGAAGACTGGCCCTGGTCTAACATCCGTGCCCATCTTCCTCCACTTTTTATATGGGACACCGCCACAGCATGGCTTACCAAGCGGTGCGTTGGTGCGCGCCCGGGATCTGAACTGGCGAACCCCGGGCTGCCACAGCAGAGCATGCGCACTTAACTGCTTGCGCCACCAGGCTGGCCCCAAATTACTCGCTTTTTAAAGAGACAGGTTTACAAGTCTGTTGGTATGTGATTTATTCCTAGGATATTTTTTAAAAATTTTCAAATGTTATATTCAACTTTGTAAAAAAACATAGCCATTTTAAAAATGAGTTACATCTCCTGTCATATTCAATGTTTTAAATGAAAAATTGGAAGAGAAACTATTAACTGCAATATACAAACCCATTCTGCCACAATATTTGGGTTTTATGCTAAACATAATATCATAAATTTTACACTTTAAAATATTTATTCATGGCATTTTAAAATCAACTCTAAATAATAATTTATACACAAAAAAATGAATTTTATGTGTTTAGTATGATGAGTTTTGACAAATGTATATACCTGTGTAACACCTAAATCAACAAATAGAACATTTATATTCAAAATATATATTCAAAAATTCCTGTGTCTATTCCCAGTCTATTCTCTCCACACACATTCCCAGCCCCAGGCAACAACTTTTCTGTTTTTGTCACTATGAATTAGGTTTTCCTTTTCTTGAGTTTCACACAAATGTAATCACACACTATGTAATCTTTTGTGTCACTCTTCATTGGCACAGCATAAAGTTTATGAGATTCGTTCATGTTGCATGTACAGTAGTTTGTTCTTTTTCATTGCCGAGTAATATTCCACTGTATGAATATACTACAATTTGTTTATCCATTTATATGTTGATGGACACACGGATTATTTTCAGTTTGGGGTTACTATGAATAAAACTGCTATGAACATTTGTGTCCATGTCTTTGTGTGGACCTATTTTTGTTCTCTTGGTTAAATACTTAGGAATGAAATTGCTGGGTCATATGGTAAGCAAACATATGTTGATTTTTTAAAGAAATTGCCAAATTGTTTTCCAAAGTGGTATTCTTGTTAGCCATGTATGAGAATGGCAATTGCTCCACATCCTTGCTGACATCTAAAAATATTAGATGTAGTGCTATCTCATTGTGGGTTTAATTTGCATTTCTCTGATGACTAATAAGATTGAGCATCTTTGCATGTGCTATTGCTATTTCTGTATCTTCTTTTTGAAGTGTCTATTCAAAGCTTTTGCTGATTTTTAAAAATCGGGTTGTTTTATTATTGAGTTGCGAGGATTCTTTATACATTCTGGATAAATGTTCCTTGTCAGATACATGTATTGTGAATATTTTCACTTTTTAAATGGTGTCTTTGGGAGAACAGAAATTTTACATTTTGATGAAGTTCCATCTGTCTGTTATGATTAATGCTTTTTCTTTCTCTGTCATTGTACCTAAGAAAACTTTGCCTTCCCCAAGGTCACAAAGATTCTGCTGTTTTCTTCTAGAAGTTTTATAGTTTTAGCTTTTATGTTTAGCTCTATGATCCTTATCTAGTTAATATCTGTCTGTGGTGGAAGGCAAGGATCAAGGTTCATTTTTTTTCCAAGTGGATATCCAGTTGTTTCAGCACCATTTGCTGAAAAGACTTACCTTGGCATCTTTGCTGAAAATCAGTTGACCACATACATACAGGTCTGGACTCTATTCTGCTTCATTGATCTACACGTCTATCCTTATGCTTATCACATGGTCTTGAAAACTCCAGTTTTATACTAAGTCTTGAAAACAAGTATGTGTGTGCTCCAGCTTGGTTCCTCCTACGCATTTCTGTATAAATTTTAGCATTACCTTGTCAAATTAAAAAAAATATATTCTGCTCAGATTTGGGGAGAACTCATAATAACAATATTGAGTCTTCCAATTCATGAACAGGGAATTGCTATTTATTTAATTTCTCTTGTCAGTGATTTATAGTTTTCAGTGTACAGGTTTTGCACATGTTTTGTTAAATTTATCCCCAAATATTTCATGTTTTTGGATGCTGATGAACATATGGTTTTATTTTAAACGTCACTTTCCAGTTGTTCTTTTCTCCCATGTAGAAAACGATTGATTTTTGTTACATTGCCTTTGTATCCTGTAACTAGTCCCAGTAGCTTTTTTGTGTATTCTTTAGGATTTTCTAATTATACAATGTCATCAGCAAATAGTTTTATTTCTTTTCCAATTTAAATGCCTTTTAAAAATAGTGGTTCATAGTTTTCATCAAATTTGAACAATTTTCAGCCATTATTTCTTCCCCAGGCGCGCCTCGGACTCCTCGTCCCCTATTGGAACGTCTTCCTCAGAATTATCTAAATTCACTGGATCAGGCTGGGCGTGCCTTCTGGGCAAAGCGCCCAGAGCCCAGATCCGGACCCGCAAGGATGGGGTCCCTCTTTCTCCCCTTTGGTGCGCTCTCTGACCGTTTCCTCTGCATGGGGATGACTCCATACCCAGGAGCTCCTGGACTAGTGTCTTTGTGGCCGTCCAGTGGTTGTCCCCCGCCCGTGGCCGGGCTCCGGTTGCAGGACAACGGCCTAACAAGGCCTAACAAGCAGCTCGCTTTCGTTGGCTTGCGCAGAATTTCTTTGCTGGATCAAGGGAGATAGGGGTTGCCAGAACGGTGCTAACACGTTGATTTTGGGTGACTCAAACTGTTTCAGGCCTGTACGTGTTTTACACGGATGATTTCACCTAAATCTCCCAACAACCCCATGAGGTAGGTTTTTACATTATCCCCAATGAGGAAACTGAGGCATAGAGAGGTTTAGTTGCCCAAGTTCCCGCAGCTAATAAGACTGGCGGAGCCTGGAATTGACGGTTTCAATTTCAGTAATCTGACTCCAGAGCCTGCCTTCTTAACTGTGCGCTTTAAGGAGAAAGAGCTATTAGGAGAAAGCATGGGCATCTGGAGGAAGAGAAAAAAGGGAGACGAGATACAGAGTGGAGAGCCGAGGATACTACCTTTCCTGCGGGAAAGGGTTCTTGTGAGCCCGATAGCTGCAGATTGCCTCTATCTGTCCAAAGTTTTCTCCTTTGGTATCTTGTCATATCCTCTTTCCTCCAGCTTCCCTCTAACATCGAACATTCTGAATATTCTGCACTGAAATCAGTGCCCTTAGAACACTGGCTCCGGTGGAATCCACACAAGTGGGGTAATCCTATTGCCCTCCCCCCGCACCCCTCCAGTGCATGCCCGTCTGGCCAGTAAAAGTGAACCAGGATGAGTAGGCGCTTTTTCCCCAGACGCTCCTAAGAACGAGTCTTTGGCCGGAAGATCCACTACCAGTCTCCCCATCCAGAAACTACCTTATAAATTGGGCGGGGCAGGGCCACGCCAAGCCCAGGTGTGTTCCGTCTGTCCCGACTAACTGCCCCAGCGAGGCGCACGTCGCCAAGGCCCAGGACGTCTGCAGCGTCCCTCTAAGGAGGCTCGCCCAGCTGGCGAGGGGGAGAGGTTTGCGGTGGGAGCGGAAACGACCCCGCCGCCGCCTTGAAATCGTGCCCCGGGGCTCGCGCGCCCCCGCGCCCAGGCCGGGCGGCC